TTTCATTAGGTCTTTAGGGAATTCGCTAAGTAGCGAAACAAAGATTTAAGTTTTTTTCTATATTAAAAGGACTGAAAATGTAATTTCAAGTTACCCTCCACTGATAGAGTTGCATTTCAGATTCACAACAGTACCATACAAAACTGTGTCTGATCTAGTATCAATTAGATATCCATGTTTTTGTTTTTGAAAACTGATTATTTACAAGTGCGACTTGCGCACTTATTGCTTGAGAAACAACGGAGAGTAAAACAATTTGTCAGTTAGAAAAACGACGTTATCTTCCAAATCATTGATCAGTCCCATTAATGATTAATCTTGATGGTTCCAGGATCTGGAGTCTTTGCTAGAAGAGATTGTAAGCCTGGAGATCTCCTGAGTCTCTACAATGGAATAAGAATGTCGGAGAGAGAATCTAGGTAATCGTTTTATCCAAACCTGAACCTAAACCTAAACCTAAACCTGAACCTGAAGCTTAACCTGAACCTGAAGCTTAACCTGAACCTGAACCTGCACCTGCTACTGAACATGCACCTGTACCTTATCCTAAACCTGAACCTGTAAACCTAAACATGAACCTAAATTTGAACCTGAACCTGAACACGAATATGAAACTGAACCTGAACCTGAACCTAAACCTAAACCTAAATCTGAACCTGAAACTGAATCTGAACCTGAACCTGAACCTGAACCTGAACCTGAACCTGAACCTGGACCTGAACATGAACATGAAACTGAACCTGAACCTAAATCGGCTAATATTAAGTTTGGATCGCGATGTCCGAAGATCAGTTTACCGCGTATTTGGATGGGGAGATATAGTTATGGATATACCTAAGGTAAATGTTCTATATTTATGGATAAATATTTTTTCCATTTAACTTTTTTTCGGAAATGTTTCACTTCTTTATTTCTTTAATAATTTTATTTCTATTTTTAAACTGTTTAGCATTAAAGCGGATTTTGAAAACTTAAAATTGTTTTGAATACGTTCTTAAAATTTTAAATTTGAAAAGGGTTATATTTGTAAAGTATTTGAAGTATAGGATTAAAGATGAAAATTTTCATCAAACTTTAAATTATGATTTTGTACCATAAATTAGTTTGGAAAGAAGAAATATATTTGAAGTTTATTCTTAGAAAATATCTACTATGCGTTTTCCAAAAAATGCCGCTATGTAAGAAACACTTAAAGTCAATGCAGTTTATAGATCAGTTTTCTAAATACATAAACCTGGCTATATCTATCGCTAGGATATGTTTTTAATAATAAATCTTTTGCTAGGATATGTTTTTAAAAGTAAATTTATTGCTAGGATATGTTTTTAATAATAAATTTATTGCTAGGATATGTTTTTAATAATAAATCTATTGCTAGGTTATGTTTTTAGTAATAAATCTATTGCTAGGATATGTTTTTAATAATAAATCTATTGCTAGTATATGCTTTAAATAATAATCCTATTGCTAGGATATGTTTTTAATAATAAATCTATTGCTAGTATATGCTTTAAATAATAATCCTATTGCTAGGATATGTTTTAATAATAAATCTATTGCTAGTATATGTTTTTAATAATAAATCTATTGCTAGGATATGAGAAGAATATCCGATTACTCAGCTAGCCTGGGGCACAAGGAAACTTAATTACAATAGTTTTTTTAAAATCCAATATTGATAACTTACACAAATGATATTAGAAACAGATGATATTTACATAAACAGATGATAATTAACAAAGCTAATAAACAGCAACAGATAATAACAGATGATATTTAAATAAACAGATGATAACTTACACAGATGATAAACATGAACAGATGATAACTTACAAAGATAATATTTACATAAACAGATGATGACTTACACATATGATAAACAGAATCAGATGATAACTTACACAGATGATATTTACATAAACATATGATAACTTACACAGATGATAAACATATAAACAGATGATAACTTACACAGATGATAAACATAAACAGATGATAACCTACACAGATGATATTTACATAAACAGATGATAACTTACACAGATTATGTTTACATAAACAGATGATAACTTTCACGGATGATATTTACATGAATAGATGAAACTTACAAAGATGATATTTACATAAACAAATGATAACTTACACATATGATAAACAGAATCAGATAATAACTTACACAGATGATAATTGACACAGAAGATAAACAGAAACAGACAATAACTTACACAGATTATATTTAAATAAACAGATGATAATTTACACAGATGATAACTTACATAGATGATAAATAGAAACCGATGATAACTTACACAGATGATATTTACTTACACAGATGATAAACATATACAGATGATATTTACATAAACAGATGATAACTTACACAGATAATATTTAAATAAGCAGATGATAACTTACATAGATGATAAACAGAAACAGATGCAACTTAAGCAGATGCTATTTACATAAACAGGTGATAACTTACATAGATGATAAACAGAGACAGATGCTAATTTACACAGATGATATTTACATAAACAGATGATAACATACACAGATGATACGCAAAAAAAGATGACAGGACATTTCATAGACAGGACATTTCATAGACAGGACATTTCATAGACAGGACATTTCATAGACATGACACTTCATAGAAAGTTAAATAATAGATGCACATTTCCTATACAGGACATTTCATAGACAGGATAACTCATAGACAGGAAATTTCATAGACAGGATACTTCATAGAAAGATAGATGCACATTTCAGAAACAAGACATTTCATAGACAGGACACTTCATAGACAGGATATTTCATAGACAGGACATTTCTTAACCAGGAAATTTCCTAGACAGGACATTTCATAAACAGGACATTTCATAGACAGGACATTTCATAGACAGGACATTTCATAAACAGGACATTTCATAGACAGAACATTTCACAGACAGGAAATTTCATAGACAGGACATTTATTAGCCTGAACATTTTATAAACAGGATATTTCATGGACAAGACATTTCATAGACAGGACATTTCATAGACAGGACATTTCTTAACCAGGAAATTTCATAGACAGGACATTTCATAGACATGACACTTCATAGAAAGTTAAATAATAGATGCACATTTCCTATACAGGACATTTCATAGACAGGATACTTCATAGACAGGAAATTTCATAGACAGGATACTTCATAGAAAGATAGATGCACATTTCATAAACAAGACATTTCATAGACAGGACACTTCATAGACAGGACATTTCATAGACAGAACATTTCACAGACAGGAAATTTCATAGACAGGACATTTATTAGCCAGGACATTTTATAAACAGGATATTTCATTGACAAGATATTTCATAGACAGGACATTTCATAGACAGGACATTTCATTGACAAGAAATTTCATAGACAGGACATTTAATAGACAGGACATTTCAAAGACAAGACATTTCATAGACAAGACATTTTATAGACAGGGTATTTCATAGACAGGACATTTAATAGACAGGATATTTCATAGACAGGACATTTAATAGACAGGATATTTCATGGACAAGACATTTCATAGACAGGACATTTCATAGACAAGACATTCCATAGACAAGACATTTTATAGACAGGGTATTTCATAGACAGGACATTTAATAGACATGATATTTCATAGACAGGACATTTAATAGACAGGATATTTCATGGACAAGACATTTCATAGACAGGACATTTCCTAGACAGGACATTTCTTAACCAGGACATTTTATAAACAGGATATTTCATTGACAAGATATTTCATAGACAGGACATTTCATAGACAGGACATTTCATTGACAAGAAATTTCATAGACAGGACATTTAATAGACAGGACATTTCATAGACAAGACATTTCATAGACAAGACATTTCATAGACAGGATATTTCATAGACAGGACATTTAATAGACAGGACATTTCATAGACAGGACACTTCATAGACAGGAAATTTCATAGACAGGATACTTCATAGAAAGATAGATGCACATTTCATAAACAAGAAATTTCATAGACAGGACACTTCATAGACAGGACATTTCATAGACAGGACATTTCATAGACAGGACATTTCATAAACAAGACATTTCATTGACAGGACATTTCTCAGCCAGGACATTTTATAAACAGGATATTTCATGGACAAGACATTATATAGACAGGACATTTCCTAGACAGGACATTTCTTAACCAGGACATTTTATAAACAGGATATTTCAAAGACAGGACATTTAATAGACAGGACATTTAATAGGCAAGACATTTCATAGACAGGACATTTAATAGACAGGATATTTAATAGACAAGACATTTCATAGACAGGATATTTCATAGATAGGACACTTCATAGACAGGAAATTTCATAGACAGGACATTTCTTAGCCAGGACATTTTATAAACAGGATATTTCATGGACAAGACATTTCATAGACAGGACATTTCCTAGACAGGACATTTCCTAGACAGGACATTTCTTAACCAGGACATTTTATAAACAGGACATTTCATAGACAGGACATTTAATAGACAGGACATTTAATAGACAGGACATTTCATAGACAAGACATTTCATAGACAAGACATTTCATAGACAGGATATTTCATAGACAGGACATTTAATAGACAGGATATTTCATAGACGGGACATTTAATAGACAGGATATTTAATAGACAAGACATTTCATAGACAGGATATTTCATAGATAGGACACTTCATAGAAAGATATATCATAGATGCATATTTCATGAAATTAACAATTTAAAAACAAGACATTAAAAAAAAAAAATTCTGGGATAAAAGGAACTTTTTCTTTTTTACAAAATTATCTTTCCATAATTAAGTCGGTTAACAAGGTCTAAAAAAGACTTCTTTAAAAAAATACTTTTTAAAGTGCATGGCTCACCTTTATGATATATATGATGTGTCCGAAATAATAACAATCTTATATATTGCAAACTATCAATTGTTTTGAAAGAAAATTTATTTTTTTCTTAAGTTTGCACTTTATCATTAATTATCCTAATCAAATTTACAGGGTTTAAAAAATCTTAAAGGAGTTGATTCTTTGCCACAAACTCAAGTTTTCTAATCACTTTATCTATGCAACCTGATGGTGTCAAGCTTTGATATTTCAAACTTTTACTATTTTAGCTAACAAAATTTATTGTTTGAAATATCTCAGGTCTAGACCATTGGGTTGCAAAGATGTAGGAATAAGAAAATCAGAGTATGTTGCTAATTGCTTTTTTATCTGTAATGGAAATCGTATGAAAATGAAAGTTTATTTTTCAAAAAAACAACATTTTTGATTAAACTAAAAATAGGCATTTAATCTTGTAATAACTACAAAAATGATGCAGTAATGATGAAGCTATAAAGAAGACGTTAATTAAGAATTAAGGACGACATTTTAGCAATCTTGTTTGTGTTTAATATTCTTGAAAACTGCATGTTTTACTGCAGTAGCTATTAAATCAACTTATTAATAAGAAATAGGTCAGTGTACACTGAACAATTGCTTTATATTCCATGTTTATGAGCTGATTTCACATCAAAACTCAAACCTTGTTTATAAATGTAGTCTTTCTATTCCACAGTTTAATGGATCCCTTTGTAGATAAGAGTTAAGCTTTACAAACCAGGGTATCCTAAAAACAGAATGTTTCAATTGTAGAAAAGTTTGTTGAACAAGATAACTTGAATATATTTATTGGAGAATAATCATTGTTTTTATTATCATTATATTCCTTGGTTTTTGTTATCATTATTTTCCTTGGTTAATATTAGCTTTTTCTGTTAATTTATTGCAATCTAAGTTTTCCTCTGTAGACAAACCATGCAAAACTGAATAATGCAGAGTTTTCGTTCATTAAACACCCAAGGTAAGCAATTCAATGCAAAGGCAATTATAAAGGCTAGGCAACAGCTTTTAAACGCAAAACCATACGCCTTAATGGGTCTAATAATGATGTCACAAAATGTCTTGGTATTTATATAATCAAAGTTTTTTGGAATTTTTAAGCAAAAACTTTCTGAAGAAATTTGTTGTCAGAAATGTGTAATTTTTAATATCTATACGATAATATGTTTGTCGTGCCATTGGGTTTCCTTGGGCTATGATTTTCTTTACAGTCTAAGTTGTACTCTCTCTATACAGTGATAACAAGAAAACTGTAGAATAGAAAGACGACATTAAAGCAATACTGAAGTACATTTGCAAAGAGCTTTACTGGCAAGTTATTAAATCACTTACTGAGTGAAATGGGTTTGTTACACTACACAATTGCTGTGTCATACGTTCATTGGACTATTTAAAATCATAATTTGAGACTAAAAGTCGTCTTCTTATTCCAGAGTTTTCTGGTTATCACTGTAGTACAACAAAACTTTATAATTAATGAAATCGGAAATTACTGTAAACGAATCTTTGGTAATTTCTATGCAAATGACATACGTAGCAAAATCACAATTATAGCGATATTTTCGCAGGAGATCATTTTTTCCTTTAAAAAATCACTAGTTCTAGAAGAACGTAAATCTGAACTTTATCCCTTTTTAAATTTTCCATCGGATCCTGCCAAAGTTAGCTGCTCGTACTGCTATTTTCCCCAACACCTACTGCAACCCAGCTCACTTTTAGCTACATTAGAGCTACAGGGGATTACTTAAACAGGAAAAGATTTTAAAGACGACCCAAACCTATTGTTTCAGTTCACATTAATATATATCTAATGTACTACAGGACAAATTTAAAGACGACCCAAACCTTTTTGTTTATGACAATTTTCAGGTTGCAATTAGACTTCTGCCTTCAATATAGTATCATATTGGTTTACTTGATGATTTGGTCAGTAAAAAAGCAAATTTTCTTATCTGAGAGTCATAAATGTAAGGAAAAAGACTGATTAAATTTTGTTCAGTTTTTCATGACGCCTCATCCTTTGGGAGTAAACATGAACACGAAGATCCAGACTGCAATCTGAGTTGCATCAATTTTAAAGATTGGGCCGACTTTTAAGCGTCGCAAAAACTTGACCTTTGATATTGCATCACTAACTCACTCGTACTTTTTTGTAGCCCTATACATTTACATTTTAGCACTCTAAAGCATTTATTTTTGGGATGACTGTGTGTAGATATACGTATTGTAGGTTTGGTGAGATTATCGGAATCTATGCGACTAAACACATCAAAGCAGGAATGGAGATTTTCGTGGACTACGGATATATTGAAAAGTAGTTATTTCTTTCTTATATTTGAAAATGAACACATTTTACACATTGTTTTGTAAATCAAACAGTTTCGTCCGTGAATATTTACGATTTTTTCATTCAAAAATGATATGTTTATTTTATCCTAACAGTTTTAAATAATATTTTATAATATTCTCATAATATTTTTCTTCTTGAATATATTCATTTTCAGACAAAAATAGACAGTTCGATCGGTGTGTATTTTTTTGAGGTCACTATTAACTATTTTAGTGGTGAAAGTTTCGAACAACTCAGGATATTTAGCTTGTTGATTGCTCCATTTCTCTATTTATTTGAAAGAAATTGTTAAAATTGGGCTAACTAATGAGGAACACTAATATTTTAAAGCTCATATTAAGCTTGTTTCAGTTTCTAATCATTTGAAATGAAGCCCTGAAGTCCTTAAATTTTTGCCAGAAATCCGTAATTTTATTAATTTGAAACTGTTTAATCAGGTATCAGGCTACACAAGGTATAATCGAGAACATGTTGGAGATGATGAGGGTGACTGGGGGCTGGGGAAACAAGAAGGAATTCAACTCAGATCTTAAAAGAACCATCGGATACTTTAGAAATAAGGTAGACATATTGTTTAAACTTTCATTGCGCGCAGTTGCGCTATAATTGTGAACAAGGAAGCAATTAGATATTCGCGAAATTGCACAGAATTGCGCGGAATCGCTTTCACCGGAATTGCATTTCCTTCTAAAATCAAAAATTTTTACTGTGACTTACAAATTTATGCAGCAGATATACAAGAATGCAAATATCTCTGTAGATTTTAAAATAATCGAGGCCCGAGTTTCACTTGTTTCAGTTTATTGTATGCCACTACCAAAGTTTAAATTGAATTTTTTGTTATTAAAAGAAATTCCGCAATAATTAAATGCATTTATTGCGTGCCATGAGGTTTTAATTGAATATTATCAAAAATTGAAACACAAACGCAATGAAGTTGGACGGAATTGCGCGCAATTTAGTTGCGTTTATTGCGCGCAAGGGCTCGCAAGTAAAATCCACTTGCTTTGGAAATTCACTTATTAAATGTGTCTGCATTTTTGGTGCTTTTAAAAGAGAACGATTATGATAAAAAAGATAACATATAACTATTTTTATGACTAAATCATGATTAACTCCGAAAAATTCTTTCGTTCTTTGGATTTCCAAAATGTACTTTTTTTTAAAGATGGCTCTCAATGTTTTAAGCAAATCATTTCATTAGACATACAACAGTACAATTATACAACCATACAATTGTATAACCGTACAACCATAAAATTGTACAACCTTTTTAGGAAACACTTTTCAATTTAAAGGGACTTTAAATGGAACTTTCATTTAAAGAGGAGAATGCCCGAATTACAATGATGTGGAAGATATTGCCGTTTTGAGATTTCAAAGGGATTAATGCTGACAATTTTTATCAATAGTTTTAAGTGAAGAAATCCGCAAGAGACTTTTTAAGAAAAACCACAGTTAAAGTGAAAAACATGGATAATGGGCTTATTTTTAATTACACAATGAAAATCACCTGTAATTAAACCCGTTTTATTTATTAGATTTTCATTGCTCATTTAATGTGTGAGCTAAAATGTTTCAGGGTTTTATTCTACAATTTATCTTAATATGTCAAAAGAGCTGGACAGTTTCAGTCAAGGGTAATATGAAGTTAATTGTACTTAAACAATTGTAAGCTAGATAAAAAACGTTAAACTTCCCTATTTTTGATCAAATTAAGGGTTTAAAGGTACCTTAGCTAATCGAGTATGCCCTTATTTATTTTGAGAGTCACTTAAAATTACAAGGGTAGTCCCTTTAATACACTCAAGACCGTGTTGCATATACTTGAAATGCCAGTTTAAAACAATTTATCAGCTGACAAGATAAATATTCATTTAACTGAATTCTGCATCGTACTTGCAGTACGAATACTCTAAGAACTAAAAAAAAGTCATTTGATGTGAAATAAGAAATCTGTTTTACAAAAACCATGCAAAAAGAATTGAGATTTTGCCACAAAATCAAATATTCTGATGGCTAAATCTTTGTGACCAGATTGTGTTAAATGTAAATAAACCTTTGGCATTTCAAACTTAAATTATTTGATAAAACAGAATTCATGGTTTGAAATTTCTAAGGTCTACAACATTGGTTTGTTTAGATATAGGAATTAGAAAATCAGAGTTTGTGGCAAAGACTCAATTACTCTAAAATCAACACAAAATGGTTAACTTTGGAGGGAGACGTTTTTTAGATTAAGTTATCTTGAGTTGATTATATTAACAGGACTGTAAAATGCAGTTTTAATGCAATTAATTAATTGATTTAGAAGACAAATTAAAACATCAAGATAATGTTGTGGACAATATCTCCAGATAAACAATTAATTAAAAAAGTAACTGTGTATACCACACTAAACTAAACAATAAACTAAATGTACCACACTAAAATAAACCATAAACTAAGTGTACCACACAAAACTGAACCACAAACTAAGTGTACCACACTAAACTAAACCGTAAACTAAGTGTACCACACTAAATTAAATCATATAATAAGTGTACCACACTAAACTAAACAATAAACTAAGTGTACCACACTAAACTAAACCATAAACTTAGTGTACCACACTAAACTAAACCACAAACTAAGTGTACCACACTAAACTGAACCATAAACTAAGTGTACCACACTAAACTAAACCATAAACTAAGTGTACCACACTAAACTAAACAGTAAACTAAGTGTACCACACTAAACTAAACCATAAACTAAGTGTATCACACTAAACTAAACCATAAACTAAGTGTACCACACTAAACTAACCCATAAACTAAGTTTACCAAACTAAACTGAACCATAAACTAAGTGTACCATCCTAAACTAAACCATAAACTAAGTGTACCACACTAAACTAAACCATAAATTAAGTGTACCACACTAAACTAAACCATAAACTAAGAGTACCACACTAAACTGAACCATAAACTAAGAGTACCACACTAAACTAAACCATAAACTAAGAGTACCACACTAAAATAAACCATGAAATTAAGTGTACCACACTAAACTAAACCATAAACTAAGTGTACCACACTAAACTGAACCATAAACTAAGTGTACCACACTAAACTAAACCATAAACTAAGTGTACCACACTAAACTAAACAATAAACTAAGTGTACCACACTAAACTGAACATAAACTAAGTGTACCACACTAAACTAAACCATAAACTAAGTGTACCACACTAAACTAACCCATAAACTAAGTGTACCAAACTAAACTGAACCATAAACTAAGTGTACCACACTAAACTAAACAATAAACTAAGTATACCACACTAAACTAAACCGTAAACTAAGTGTACCACACTAAACTTAACCATGAAATTAAGTGTACCACACTAAACTGAACCATAAACTAAGTGTACCATCCTAAACTAAACCATAAACTAAGTTTACCATCCTAAACTAAACCATAAACTAAGTGTACCACACTAAACTAAACCATAAACTAAGAGTATCACACTAAAATAAACCATGAAATTAAGTGTACCACACTAAACTAAACCATAAACTGAGAGTACCACACTAAAATAAACACTGAAATTAAATGTACCACAGTAAACTAAACCATAAACTAAGAGTACCACACTAAAATAAACCATGAAATTAAGTGTACCACACTAAACTAAACCATAAANTTTTTGCAAATTGATATATTCACAAAATTACACTTTTATAGCTTGATTTTTGGAATCTTTCTGGCTTCAATGTTGTTGATAATGTTTTAAAGTTTATGTTTTCTCATTTTTCTCACCAAACAACAGAGTACTAACTAAAATAAACCATGAAATTAAGTGTACCACACTAAAATAAACCATAAACTAAGAGTACCACACTAAAATAAACCATGAAATTAAGTGTACCACACTAAAATAAACCATAAACTAAGAGTAACACACTAAAATAAACCATGAAATAAAGTGTACCACACTAAAATAAACCATAAACTAAGTTTAAAACGGGGTTGACAAGTAATTGTTTGAAATATCAAGGGTTTAAACCATTAGTCTGCAAAGATATAGGGATTAGAAAATTAGAAAAGAGAATGGTGGTTTAACGGTGTAAGGTGTGAAGAATTAACACATTTAAAGTTTTTTTTCATGTTAAATGATATTTATAAACAATGTTATTACCAACTAGCTCGGGAACCCAGCTTTACCTGGAAACTTGTATTTCTCTATGAAAGTCAACCCACTCCACTTATAAATCAACATATAAGACAAATCGGTCCGGGGGTTCATGAATCATGAGTTATGATCGGACATACTAACAATCAAACAGAGATTACTACTTTGTATAAATAAATATATATTCCAGGTTGATGAGATGAAACCTCTGATAAAAGCTGTGAAGATGGCCAGAACGTTTCTCTAAAATATTCCACTGTTAGCATAGTTGATTTTTCACCTAGAACATCTGCACATAGCGGCCAACGTTTTGTTTACTGGCATTTACTTTTTCCATCTAAAAAATGACAAATACTTGCGGAGGCCTCCTATTAAAATTTTCCAGCAAAAAAACGCCAGTCCTTTATTTTAATAATCAGAATTAAATTGACCTTTAACTTTATGGAATAAAAATAATTTTGTGCATATCTTACATATTGCTGGAATTCTATCTTGTTTAATATATACGTAAACTAGCCTTATAGGGCGCTTCGCGCCCATCTTCTAAATTAATTGTGAACATGTTCTCTTTGTGTACATCGTAAAACAAAACAAAAATAATTCGCGGATTTTCACCAAAAATTTCGTGGATTTTCAAAAATTTAACGAAGATCGAATTTTGATGGAGACAAATATTTGAAATTTTGATCATTCATAAACCTTCCCTG